CAATAATATTAATCTGCATATTTTTGACTGCCTGTCCATCAGCCAGTCACATTCTTGTAGATCTGTCAGTGGAAGCCCCCCCACCCTACGATGCTCCTTGTGTGTGAAGACAGAGAGACAAACAGAACTCTGATAGGAAACAGTTTCAAACAGATTTTGTCCCATCCAGTAGATGGGTTGGTTTCCCAGGTTCATTCAGCACCAGGTTTTGTATAGTTTTTCATTGGATACTTATTGCCTTTGAATCTCGACTTAAAAACCACCTGCTTAGAGTTGCTTATGGGACATAAGCAACAATTGGGATTTGAATCCCAACCGGGGTTCAAGCGCTTGGGAGAAAAGGGGTGCAGATTAGAGTCCCCACGCTGTTGGAAAGGGGGTGTGGGTTGGAGTCCCGCCCGTGGTTTCTTTTTTTTTCTGCCCTTTTTTCCCTCTGCCCTTCAAATCGACAGATTTGAAGAGCAGAACTTTGACTCGGTAGGAAATGTAATGTTTTTGATTGTTTATTCAATGTTGCATGACTGTGATTTTGTGTTTAATGATGTAAAGCACGTTGAAATGCCTTGCTGCTGAAATGTGCTATACAAATAAAATTTGATTGATTGATTGATTGATTGATTGATTGATTGATTGATTTGCAAAGTTACACAGTGAAAATTGATAGCAATACTTTGAGTTTTTTAACTGTCCCAAGAGATAAAATGAGTTTGAGAACGTCAAGTCATATTTTCACCATGTTATTCATTCTAATTATCATGGTTCCAAACTATATATTTAATTAGAAAATTAATATTTAGCTTCAATCTAAATGTTTTCCAGAAGACTGACTAAAGACATTGCAAGAGCAGCAAGCTCTCACTAGTGTAGCCTCTTAAAACTCCTTTGTAAACGACACATTTTTTCTGAAAAAAAAAAGAGGTCTTGAAACCGACAGTTATCATTAAGTTTTTACTGGACTTAAAAGGAAATAAAAATAACAGATTCAAAAAATATAGAAAGGCATGGCCAAAAGACTGTGCCGGACTTCTACAATGAATAAGTGCTTTCATCTTTCATAAACTAATTAGTCAATAACCAAACAAAAGGCACCATGTAATAAGCTTAAACAATTACAGATGCTTATCTTTTTCAAATAGCAGAGTAACAAATGAAACTTATGTAAACACAAAATAACATTTTGTATGAAGTTTCAAAAATGTATAAATGGCTCCTACAGATATTTCTCCCTCTTCCTCCTCTATCTGTCATGATTTGCAGTTTGTGGTAGTGAGGTAGAAACGTGGTTGGACCCAGGATAAGAAGTAAATGATGAAGGTTTTAATGAATGAAATTAACAAAATCCAGGCAGCACGGATGAGCAGTGACAAAAGCTCTGAGTCTGGTAGCAACTGGTAAATCAAATGATAACTGACAGTAAACACAAGAGAAACATGGGACGAGGATCTGACAAGGAGCAAGGAACACAGGTGGGATTAAATATACAGGGAGACAATCAGGGGAAACAAGGGAGAGTTATAAACAATCAAGGGGTAGACGGGACAACACAGAGAATCAACAGAACACAGAAACTTAAATGAATACACGGAAAAAACAAATCATTACACTATCAGACCTTCTCTGCTCCTGCAGCAGTTTCCTGCATACCTGAGAGCTTCCAGTCTCCAGTCTGGATCCTTCAGTCC